CCTGTAGATGCGTTTTTGCAGGACTACCTTTGCCCTCAGCTGGTGCTATACCTTCATGGTGACACACAGTGACACAGCTCCACTGCTTCTGTGGGCTGTTGGGTAGGCTACAGAGGTGCACTATTTCCTCATGGTAACCAAATGGCTGCTGGGGCCTGGCTCACACAACAGCATCTGTTGCTGTAACGATAAAAGGCACACTTGTTGAGGGTATAAGTAACTGTTTATTGTAGAAATTACTTACAAGAGAAAACAGGCAACCAAGATGAGTCAAGTAGCTTTCGCCACCAAACCAGAAGCTGAAAAGAGAGAACATGGCTCTGCCCGCACAGTCTTTTATAAGAACCTCTGTACACGCCTCTAGCCACGCCCAAAAGTGGGCCTGGCTAGTGGTGTAGTTCACCTCCCTTTCATTATCACATCTGTGTGTGTCTCTAGTCACGTCCAAAGTGGCGCTGTGAACCGCCCTATCATTACCACATCCATATGTGCCTCTAGTGTGCGACATGGCTAATGGTGTGGTCCTAAGTCTCCTCCTACAGAATTTGACTATGTTAAGGTTAAAACCTTTCTTTTTATTTAGACAGAAAAGAGGAGATGATGGGACATGTCATTCTGTAAATCTGTCTCTCTTATTGGTTGTTGAATAAAGCACTGTTGGCCAATAGGAAAGCAAGATAGGTGGGACTAGTTGTCGAGGAGGTTTCTTGGAAAGAGATGCACAGAGAGACACAATGTAGCCACTAGAAGAGTAAGAGGTCCAGACCCTTTCCCTGGTAAGAGAAATACTTAGATTAACAATTATGGGCTAAATACTTAAGTCAGAGATAGCCAGTAAGAAACCAAGCAAACGGCCAACAGCTTTATAATTAATAGTGTCCTGTGTGTTATTTGGGGTTTAGACAGCATGGCAGGGCCCAGGAGACTGGCAAGGAAGACTACACTCTACAAGCATCCACAGATTCTTCCGTTTGTGGGCTCCTTGAGGGCTCTGAGCTGGCACAGCCGTCTGAATGTCACCCAAATAAGCAAGTCCTGGTGTGCAGGCACAAAGGTGGTCCCCACAAGTCCTGATGTGCAGGCACAAAGGTGGTCCCCACAGCTGGTTCTCTGGAATGGCAGGAGGTGGGACACAGCCGAGGAGCTCAGCATTACAGCAGAGGCAGCAATGAAATACCGACTGACGTTACTAGAGCAGTAGATTTGTTGTGCTGACCGTGGGGAACAGTTGCCCTCATTGTCCCCATCACCACCATCATCATCATCACCATCATCATCATCACCATCAGTTCCACCACCATCACCACCACCAACCACCATCACCATCGCTTGGCCCTGGGCAGTCATGAGCATGTGTGCAGCATTTCTGGCTTCACCAGTAGGCACTCAATGCAGATAAGGCTCCATCTCCTTGCTGTATCCTCACCCAGCCTTGTCTCTAGCCATTTCTAAGGGTTACTAACCTGGATGAACGCTATCTTTTCCATGTGGGTCACCTCTGCTCCATTTTATGGAAAGTGAGCCTGGGGCTTCAGCGGGCATGTCCACAGGCCTGGCATAGATGGGCCATCATTGGCTTTTCTCTGGTCACTTTGGATATCGGGGAGACTAAGGCTGAGGACGACCAGAGCTACTCCAGAGTCACCAGAGGCTGTCTGTGAGCAGCTTGGGGGTCATGGGGTCACGGGGGAGCTACTGTCCTGCTGACAAGGCAGCCAGGGAGGGGTTGTGCGGCTGAGCCCCGGGCTCTGACTTCCTCCTGCTCCAGGCAGTCACCACCTCGCCTCAGGGAAAGCAGCCTCGTTAGCGCAGCTGCCCGCGGCCGTGGGTGCAGCCGGGGGCGGAGAGGCCTTGTTACCTTCATGTGGATGACCACGCAAGCTCCAGGCTGGACGCAGCCCCCTGCGCATCTCAGGGCAGAGTATGCAAGTCCAGGTCTCAGGTATGCAGGTGTGTAGGTGGACACCCACGTGTGCACCCACTTCCACACACAAGGTCACACACATGCACACATCTGCTCATTTCCACAGGTGTTGCATGTGCTTGGGACACAGAAGCACACAGAGACACTGATGTAGACAGACTCAGTATGTGTGTGTCTATGTATGTATGTATGTATGTATGTATGTATGTATGTATGCATGTATGTATCTTTGTGGGCCCGGAACAGGCTTATAAACATGTATCAGAAATACATGTGTCCTAATATGGGCTCTCTGCCCAGAATGCACGCTGGCTGAACACGCCTATTTATACACCAGCATTCGCATGGGTTGTGGGCAGGTGTGCACTGATGAGCCTTTATACATGACACACTCCTGCACATGGCTCACAGGTGCACTCGATGATCAGGTGCAGGCAGCTCACAGGTGCTCAAGGCACGAACATCCCCATCACCTTGCACTGGAGAATTTGTGCCTGCCTCGGGTGTGTCCGAGCACACCTTTTGACCTGTCTCCACCCATACCTAGCCTCAGCCCCCTGCCGTGGCTTTCCTTGAAACAGGCTTTCCTCAGGTTTATTTCACAGATGGGGAAACTGAAGCTAAGGACTTGGCAGTGAGGAGGAGATGCCCCGATTGGCGGATCAGCTGGGGCCTGCGGGAGAATCCACAGCAGGCCGGGTTCACACTGCAAGTTTCCACTCCCGGGCTGTGTGGTCTTTCTGGGCACCTTGGCTTTTCTGAGCCTTTGTCTTTGATGTTTAGGATAGGAAAAGCCCAGCTGCTTCGTGGTGTGGTAGGGTTGGGGTGCACTGTTGGAATTAGTGGCTGTCCCCCGTCCTTACCGTCACCATTATGCTATGAGACCTGGGGTTAACAGGAAGACACAGAAGCAGCTACTGTTGAGAGGCCAGGAGCCAGTCTCTGAGAAGCCTCAAGAGGAACCAGTCACACAATTCCTTGACCTTGGACTAGAGTCTCCAGACCCTGGAGATAACACTCCCAGACTGCCGTAGAGTCAAGCTCACAGGCAGAGCTGGGGCTTGATATGCCTCCATAGGCGCTGGGACTGTCCCACTTGGTATCACCCCATAGTCACTCATGCCCTAGAGGCAGGGCCACTGTGTATTGAATAGGCTCTGGCAGGCAGCTAGGATCCCAATCTCCCCGCAGGAGCCTGGCCGCTGTAATAGTGACTTAGTGCCGATGTAACAACCCTCGTATTCTTTTAGTGAGGCCTGAAAGGTGCTATTAAATGGAATATTGAGATAAGGAAGTGGGAGTTGAGCAAGGTTAGACACTATTTATTCAGATTTTCATGGGCACTAAAGTATCCTTGCCTGGCTCGCTCGCCACCCCTCCCATCTCCTACTTGTGTGGACCCGGATCTGCCTACCTGGGAACCTGCTGGGAAGGAACCTCTTGGACTGGGTAAGAAGCTGGGTCTCGATTGCATCTTGGTCTGCCATGGACACACCAGAGCAGTATGTATACTTGGAGACCAGTAGGGAACCAAGGGCAGGGTGGGGACATCCAGGACACCTCAAGAGGCAGAGCCCCCTAGGACAGGCAAGAGGGGCTGTTTGGGGTGACTTTACCCCTCAGAGGTCCTGTTGACCCCCTCCAGTTTCCCAATTGCAGCTCACACATCTCAGCAGCCACTCATGGCCTCCCCACACCATAGACCTTTTATGACCCGGCTTCCTAAGAGAGTGCCTGATGGAATTTGAACCCCCTGGGTCATGTTTTCTTCTTTCTGCCCTGAGAGTCTGGAGAAGAGGGTTAGGGAGGAGCTAAGAGCTCAGGAGGGCTGCTGCAGGAAGGGTGTTAGACACCTGTGAGGAGTTGGAGCGACCCTAGCACCCATTCAAGACTGAGTTCAGTCGTGGAATATGAGGCTGCAAGGAGAGTCCCCTGCACACAGTAGGCACTCCCTAAATGCACCGTTCTCTTTCAATCAGTCTGGTTTAGTGTATCTACCAGCAGCCTCAGAAAGACAAATGGCAGCCGATAGCTGAGGTGGGTAGGGGTGACGACAGCTGCAGGGAGAGGATGGAGACAGGGGTGGGGGGTGGGTGCATGCTTCAGAGTCTTCTGTGGGTGAGACACAGAAAGACAAGGAAGGGAGCCTTTCAGGGAGAAGCCAGCGTCTGTGCAAGGGTCCTGGGGCAGACGGGAGCAGGTAGCAAGGAGCACAGCTAAACATAGAGCACCCAGTGTGCTGTCCTTCCCCACATAAACATGGAAGAATAAGGACTCACCCTCGGTGGGGCCCTCCACCATCAATTACTAATTAAGTCATATCCTCACTGAGGCTAAGCCTGGACAGAGTACATAAGTGGAACCTGACCTCTGGTCACAGCGAGCATCTTGGTGTGCCTGGGATGTTGCTTTCTTATGGGCAGTTTTGTGAGAGAGAGCCTGGTTAAGAGGAGCCGGGGGTCCAGAGCTGAGCCCCCGGCAGGGTGTGCCCAGCTTGAGTCTGTTTCTTTTGCAGAGCACAGGGTCTGCAGCCATCCTGCGGTTGGGGGTGGGGTGCCTTGTAACAGTGCCCTTCTGTTGCTTGGCTTCACTTCCCTCTTGATCACTTGGTAACGCCTGCACTTCTCTGGGCCTCAGTTTCCTTTCAGCAAAGTGGGAAGGAGTCTCTGTCTCTCGCCTGAGGGTTGGGTGAAAATCTTGCATTGTGTTGGTCTGTAAATATGGGGGCACTACTGGAGCTGCTGGATCGGGGTTCGTTCCCTTCAGTCTTTTACATGAACCCGACCTGGGCTTGAACTTCCCTTAATCTTCAGAGCCGTGTGTCCTCTGGTGATAATTACAAAGGTGCTGTGCTGGATAATTTTATGTCAATTTGAAGCAGGCTAGAGGCACCTGAGAGGTGGAAACCCCAACTGAGAAGATGCCTCCTTAAGATCAGACTCCAGGCAAGCCTGTAGGGCATTTTCTTAATTAGTGATTGATGGGGGAGGGCCCAGCCCATTGTGGGTGAGGCCATCCCTGGGCTGGTGGTCCTGGGTTCTACAAGAAAGCAGACTGAGCAAGCCATGGGTAGCAAGACCGTAAGCAGCTCCCTCCACGGCCTCTGCATCAGCTCCTGCCTCCAGGTTCCTGCCTTGCTTGAGCTCCTGTCCTCAGTGCTTTTGATGATGAGCTGCTCTATGGAACTGCGAGTGAAATGAACCCTTTTCTCCGTAAGTTGCCTTGGTCCTGGTGTTCATCCCTGCAATGGTGACCCTGATTGGACAGGCGCTTCACCAGCTGTGCTCCAGATGCAGGTGTCTGATCATGCTAGTCTCAGGGGCTTGAGAGAGACCCAGCCATCTCCCTACAGCCGTGTGGGGAGCTCTCCGAGCTAGGGTGTGGACTCTGTAGTTTCAGGCTCTGTGTCCACGGCGGCTCTGGCTTCCTGCTTCCCATTGCACCAGAATCCCATCTCTACAGGGGTGAGTGATAAGATCTTCCAAGCAAAGCTGTTCCCTTGAATTGGGCAGACTCAACTTAATAATAATGACACGTGGGCCCTGTATTGTGTTGTGACTCTGCTCAGCCTGGGGAGGTGACGCTCCCTCCTGTTCCCCCTACCTTCAGGAAGTAGATGCTCACTTCTCCCAGAGGAGGCGTGGGGGTAGCCTGGACACGCCTCTGCTGGAAATTCTTGTCCTCTGTTTCCCCAACCACCTCTGGCTTGTGCTCTATCCAGTGCATTTAAACTGCGCCCTGATGTAATGTGTTCACCATGCATTGTCTTCAGCCTGATGCCACAGGAGCCCAGGATCCCCAGCCTGTCCTCATGCCCATCCTGCCTCCCTCAAGGATTCCTGCGTGACTTCCCTGGCAGAGGCCAGACCTGAACGGCAGGGTTCACTGGAGGTAAGCCTGATGCCCCTGTCTGACATCTGCCCTGCACGAGGGCCCCAAATTAGAGGAAGTGGTTCTCCATCAAAGGCAGGCTGGGCCCAGCGGGGGATGTGCAGAGCCTGGGGAGTGCTACTTGACTGATTTCATCTAATTATGGCTGGTTTAATATTTATAGGGGTGGTGCCAGAGGGCTTCGAGCCCTGCAGCTAACCTCGGGTGGCCCAGGTGGGGGCACAGAGGAGAGGAAAGCCAGCTCACACCCAGAGTCCTGGTTGGCCAGGCCCACGTGGGCTGATGCTGCCACTCTGGGGAGCTCGGGAAGGGAGCATCGTTTCATACAACGCCACGCACTGGGCACTGGGTGCAAATGCTGGCACTTGTGTGGAGTCTGTGGCGCAAGACCCATCTGACCGTGCCATTCAAACTCCTACTTACTCTTGCTGTGTGATCCTGGGCAAGTGAATAGATCTCTCTTAGCCTCAGTTGCCAGCATCGGCAGAACTGTAAAGATGGTGTGTGCCATTCACGGGACAGATTGACTCTGAAGCCCCTCGGGCTTGTACTTGGAGGCTTGGTTTCCAGCTGGTGTTGCAGGCTTCAGAGGCTGGAGGTGCCTTCAGCTTACTGGAAGTAGGTTGTCTCAAACCCATGGGAATGGCAAGGTGTTCTCCAGGTCAGGCGCAGGTGAATGGCCGTCCTCATCTGAGCAGGAATGTTGAGTCTCAGGCTGCTGCCGGCTCCTCTCCATCGGAGTGCATGGCCCACTAGATCCCAGGGATGACGTTCTGTTTATGTGTCATTTGATTTCCAAATTCCCTCTCACCCCAATTAGGACAATCCCCTCCAGGGGGCACCTTGGGGTGGGGGGCCCAGAATGTCATCCCTGATGCCCCTTTGTGGGCCCCTTAGTTTCCTCATGTGCAGAATGGGGGCGGATATACTTGGGAGGACTTCAATCATGCTGCGTCTTTGCCCAGTGAGTTCGGTGGCCGCGCTCAGCACATGTAAGCTATTGCTGCAGCCAATGAGCCCTGCAATATTTTCTTTTCACTCAGAGGGGGACAAAAGCTAAAAATGATAAACACCAATAGCTTCATCATTCCGCAGCTTGGGAAATTATCTAAATTCCATTCCAGGCTCGGGTGTGCAGACAGGCGGGAGGGGACTCTTGATGGGTTGGCAATGACATTCTGCCTGGTATTGTCCCCCCACTATGCCCCTCCTTTTTCTTCTTCTTCTTCTTTTGGTCTTTAGACTGAGGGTCAGAGTGGCCCCAGGTGCCTCCAAGGCCACCAAGCCAGATGCCAATGGGCTGTGCCACCTTTAGGTTGAGTGGCAACGCCCCTCTCAGTCCCCTCTGGGCTGTGTGGGGAGCTGCCGGGTGTCCCTGGGAAGGGCATCCCTCCCTGTGAGAGCCGGCTGCCAGTTCTCAGTAACATCCCTAGGGTTTTGTGTCAAGGACAAAATAGTGTGTCCCATGGGTGAATATAGTCAACACAGCTCCAAACAGAATTTATTTCTTGTTAGAGATACCATTTTTAAAGGGTGGCATAGAGAAGCTTTAAAAATGAAATTATAGCCGGTAATATAAACCTCATAGGCACTGTATTCAAATTACACTACAGTAATATGCCAAGTTCATAAATAAACATTGCCTATTAACCCTTTACTGTGCCCCACAGGCGAGTGGCTGGGACACAGCCGCAATGGGGCAGGAATCTCCTTCTAGGTGCCCCTCGGGCTGTTCCCAACCTTTCACTTAGGTGTCAGTAATGAGGACATTCTCTGCTAGAATGAAGGGTATGACTGTCTGTGGAGTTAGCAGAAATTGGGGTACATGCCTCTGGCTGGGGGTGTACCAGGTCCCTTGCTCCAGGCATGTCCTGCCTCCTGTTACCCTGTTTAAATGAATACTACCCAACTCCAGCACACAGCCTAGGCTATATATGATGCTATATATTGCCTCCCCTCCCCATGCTTCTCCATGAGGGTGGTTTCATCTGCCTTGAGATGTTCTTGTTACAGGAGGTAATTTTACCAGGTAGAGGTCAGGACTCCACCCAGCATCCCGCAATGCACAGAACAATCTCCTCCACAAAGCCTCAGGTGACCCTAGATGTCCTCACTTCACTGCCTGTCCCTACTCTCCTGCATGGTGACTGCCAAGGCTTAGTCTCTGTCTTCAGTGTGGTCCCTGGGGCACGGAGGTCTTTAAAGGACACTCTAGTAAGTTCTGATGAAGACGGGGCCTTCCCCTTGTCCCTCTGTCCCCTGCGACCATCTCTTCACGCTTGCTTGAAGCTGCTCCTTCTCCCCAGAAGTCTGCTTGTGCCCTGGTCATAACCCCACGCCCTGGTGGCCATTCCCAGGATCCTCCTTGCTCCTCATCCTGGGGTCAAGGCAACTTCACTATTCATGCCTCAAGTCAAATGTGGCTGTCCTGCTTGAGATGCCTTTCCCTGTGCCACCTCCATCCTCTATCCTGCCCTCTAAGGGACTGGAACTTTGCCACCTTGGGGTCCTATAGGGCACAGGAGAGGGTCAGAGCCCAGGACACCACCCTTCCTTGCCTCAGTAGGCCTGGCTCCTCATCTGGGATCCAGGAGTTCCCTTGCTTGGGGCACCAGAGCTGGTGAATTTCCCCATGGGACTCTGGCAGCTCTGTAGAGCCAGAGGCAGAAGCAAGCGGCTGGCAGGGTCTGTCGCAGTTATACTTGGGGGTTCGGGTGAGACAGGACCTCCCGAGCCTCCACCTGCAGAATGCTGTCAGCATTGTGTCCTGGCCCGTGCTTGTGTCACCTGGCCATGGGAACCCCTCTCCCCCACTGAGATTTCATAGTGTGACCAGGCACTCAGCCCCACAGTCCCGGCATCCGAGTTTCACTGTGGTTTTAGGAGACCTAGCTTAGGCTATTTGTCTGAGTGGCTCTCTTCCTCAGTTCCCCTGGCATATGGCTAATTTAATAGCATTTAATTTAATTTTTAAATGATTTTTCAGAAAGGCCTGTGGCCACAGAGGCCCTGGATGTCCCAATCCTCTTGCTCTCTGTGGCTGGAGATCTATCTCGTGGCTCAAACCTGGCTGCTGGCAACACAGGCCCCTTGTAGGCCCCATGGCCTTTCATGAAAATGTTGAGTTTGCTCTCTGCCCACTGGGCATAATTACCCTTCTCCTCTCCAGAGCCGCTTTTGGCCCAGCCCAGGATAGAAAACCCTGGAAATCCAGAGTAAGTTAGACACTGAGACATAGCTGAGCCTGAGACAAAGGACTGCAGAATCCAGCACAGGTATACATACAAGGACATACAGAGTATGCACACACACACACACACACACACACACACACACACACATATACTCAAGCATGCACACTCACAACACACAGTGCAGCTCACAGATCCATACCAGTACAAATGTGTGCACACATAGCACACCAAGTGTACACATGCCTAACGCACATGACATAACTTAAATGCACACATATGCACAAGTATGCACACATCCATACCCACACAGTATACAGCACACATGTGCAATACACACATGAGCACATACATATGCAATGCACAGCTGAATGCCTGTATCTGTGCATGCACACTTGTACACAAACACGCCTTCTTCCTCACTCTTTCAGGGCATGTGGGGTCTAGCCACTAGCTCATTTTTCCTGGACAGTGGAACTGGAGCCTTGCCACATCAGTTTGTGTCTCATTTTTCCCCCCTGTGTCGCTGATTTAAGCCCCAGTTCATTGCTCGCATTCATATTTCAATTAACTAGTGAATTATACTTCTTGTCTCATATTTACCACATGCCCCCCACCCCAATAAGGACAGACACATAGCAGTGAGTCACACACCTGACTGTGTCTTCAGGAAGAAGAGATGCTGCCGGAAGGAGGAAGGAGAGGCAGTCATGCGAGGAGACTTTGGTAGGATAGAGAATGGGCTAGGAAGCCCCAGGAGCCTTGTGGGGCACACCTAGGAGAGAATGTGATGATACTGACTTCAAGGCTAAAGTTAGAGTGGACTCTGAGAGGCAGCCCGGTTCCCCCAGACCTGTCTCAGGTGTCCTCCTGCAGCAAAGCCTCTGAGCACCTCTGCAAACCTGCTAGTTCTCCAGGCCACACAGCATGGATCCCTGTCCCAGAACCCCCGAGAATGACTATAGACAAGTCCTAGTCCATGATGAATGGTTGTTATGCTCCACTCCAGGTCAGGTTCACTCACCTCCCAAGTGTGAGTCTCCCCACTCCTTACCTTCCACAGACTTAGTTCATACCAGATGAACAAGTGGAGAATGGAAGAGCCACAACATGGAGGGGGCCTGGGTCCCTGATAACTCTTGATGGAATATTGTTCTAGACACGTATCTAACCAGGAAGGTTTATGCTGGCCCTGTATTAATGGAGGTTCATTATGATCAGAACCTGGGTTCCTGGTGTGATATGCCAGCTGATGTCATCTTTCCGGGTCAGGGTACCCAGTGATTGCTTTTATGTAGCAAATACAGTAGTTGTAATGGACACAATCAGGCTTATGGAGCTTGAAATGTTTACTATTTTCTACTTTCTGTAACTACCCCCTTCCTGCCCCCAGAAGCAACTGGCAATGCCAGGAGAGCTCTCTCCTAATGCACACACTGGTCTCCATGGACAGGTCAGCCTCTGAGCTTGGGGCACACAAAGGATTTGTGAGTAGACATCGAGACAAACCGTGTCTAGTGAAGACGGCTCCTCAGCCTCTGCATGTGTCTGTGACCTGGGTCAGATACCAACCGTGATACCACAAACAGGAGTAGTGTTTCCTACAGGTGCTCAGCCAGGAAGTGGCTAAGGAATCCTCCACAGAAGGTGGACAAACAACATATCACCTGGATAAAAACCAGCCAATGCTAATCGAGTGCTATCCATGGACCAGGCACCCTGTGCATCTTCAGAGGAACCTAGGGGAGTGCTGCCAGCAACCCCATTCCACATGTGGGCCTGACCTACAGAGACAGCCAGCTTGCCTGCTTTGTCCTGTTAGTGAAAGATAGGGTTTGTATTTATTAAAAAAATGATACTAGCTATTTACTTTTTAATTTAGTATACAAAAATGTGTTTTTATGAGCATACTTCTATCGCTCTCTTGTCCTGGGTCCCTCACTCTGACTCCCCCTCCTGCCTCCCTAGTCTCCCTTCTGCTTTCACATAGCACATATAAATTAGCACATGTATCTGTATTTAGCTCCCGCTGTGCGTCTGAGAGAAACATTCGGTGTCTTCCTCTGGGTCTGGCTTATTTTTGCTTGACACGATGGCTGTAAACGACGTGGCTTCGCTCTTCTTCGTGGCTGTGTGGCTCCCCTCTGTGCAGGCCGAGCTTCATTCGTGTATTTGCTGCAGATGCTGGGCTTTGAACCGGGTGTCTTCTCTCCTGTGACGTCAGGCTCGGTTTTGCATCCTCACGTCCCGGTCAGCTCTGACAAATAGAACTGGTGTCTGGATGCTCTTTGCTTCAGCTTTCCTTCCCTCTCCCATCTCCCTGTGATCCCAAAGCCCAGAACAGTCCGCCAGTGTGTTACTTATACACCTCATGCACCGGTGGGCTCTTCGTTAACTCAGGGAGGGCCCTTCGCACAGGCCGAGGTTCAATAATTCTCTTTAAAGTTACAGAGAAATATATGCTTAATTATATTTGCATATGAAAAATAGGCTCTAATTAGTTTGATTGATTATTATTTTAACCCTAATGGCATTTTGAGTATCTGTCCCAACTAATAGCGACTGTATCAGCCATAAATCATTGGCTTTTTATGGCATGGTCTATTGAGCTGGCTTATGAAATACATTTTATTAATATCCTGCAATGTATTGAAACTGATACAAGTCAAACAACTGCTCATTTATAAAGCTGTTTAAATGTCAGTCTCACACAAGAGTAATAACACAGGAAACACGGACCTTGGAATCTTTTGGCAGACCACAGGCTCTCAAATATCAGTTCTCTTGGAAAATATATTCTGGAGATAAAAGTCCAATTATGTCATTTATTGCATTAAATAAATCTTTATTGACTAACATAAATGTTAGGTTAGTGGACGTGCCTCCCTGCAACCTTTTAATTCTCTGGGATTTATTTCTGGGGTGCAATGGGGGAAGGGAGGCTTTAGTTACTTAGGTGACCTTGAGGGTGAAAGTCCTGGGGAACCGGGGACTCAGATTTCCTTAAGAGAGGGTCCAGCCATTCTGTGCGCCAAGGTCCCCAGTCTGTGGCTTTTCCTCTGAGGCTTCAGGGCCCTTCCAGGGGCCACTTTCTCTTCTCTCGCAAGCACCAGGGGTGCAGGTTGGGGAGCACTGTGGTGACTGGGCAAGTGAGATCATTGCTTCTGTAGAGCCGACACACTAGTGGGAGACAGTGGACCAAAGATGGTGGAGCAGGCCACTGTGGGAGGGAGGCACGGGTAACGAGGAGAAGGTGAGAGGGAGAAAGACAGAGAAGGTGCCTGGGCATTGCTTCTGAGCAGAGAATGCTGGGATAGAGTCAGGAAGGGATTTCAGGCTTCTCCTGTAGGCCTGGCCTCAGGAGAGGCAACTGGCCCATCCCCCACTGCCGAGTGCACTGTGGTGCTGTGGAGTCTGGAAGGGCTCAGCTGTTGTCATTAAGGGTGTGACAGCAGGGAGGAGACACATGATGCCTCAGGACCTCATGGAGGTCAAGTTGACAGGGTAGGCTGATAGAACAGATGCTGGGAGACCAAGGGACAGGAGCCAAGGACAGTCTGTTAGACAGTGGTGAATGTTCAGGATGCTGTGTAATGTCAGGCAGCTCGTAAACCTGCCTGGTTCTGGGCTTCTCCATCTACAGGTGGATGAGACAGTGTTAGAAGCATAAAACTAAGAATTCATTTATTTAGTTGTTTATTTTTTAAGTCTTGGCCATGCCAATGGGCAGGCATGTTGGAAGGTGGCTTTTCTAGTCTCTATACTTTATAGCCAGGGAAACAGAGGCCCAGGGAAGAGACGAGATTTGTAGATGGGTGTGTGGCCAGTCTATGGGAAACTGGAACCCTGGATCCCAGCTCCGTGTCATGGGCTGCCTTTGCTATCAGTGGATCCCACAGTCGAGCTCTAGGAATGAGGACAGGGACAGAAAGAGGACAGCATAGATGAGCCCAGGAATGGAGGGGTGGCAAGTGTCGGAGTTAGAAAGTGGCGATTGTGAGGTCCCAAGCTCCACCGCTGTCATCTGGTTCAGCAAATTTGGGCACTACACGTAATTTCTCTGGTTCCTGCCTTCTTGGGCTATGGTTGGAGGCCTTCTGCACAGGACTGGATGGCTGTCATACGAGGTGCCTCACTGAACCCTGGTACTTACCAGCCATAACAATGATGTCAACCCTGCCAACATCAGCAATGACCTGTGAGGGTGGGTTGATCAAAGAACAGGGACTTTGGAGTCACGCAGTTCCTGGTTCAAATCTTACCTCTCTGCTGTGAGAATCCTACTGCATCCTGGAACCTGTGTCCCTGATTGGCAGAGTGGGGCCACATCTAGTGTGGCCTGCCTGATGTCCTGGGGTGGGTTGGAATTCACAGCCAATTGAAAGTCATGGTACTAGAGTCCAGGCAGGTGCAAGACTTCCAGAAACTGCCAGGAGTTGTGTGTATATTGGGTGGGGGTTGGGTGATGTCTGCCATGTGGGTGGTCATGGGGTTTGTGTGTGTGTGTGTGTGTGTTGTTTTGAAAGGGTTGCCTCCCAGGCTTGCTGACTTGCTGTGTGACCTTCTCCCAGTCCTACAGCCTCTCTGAACTCTGCTCCTCTTGTGTGTGAATCCAGGAGAGCTCTACTTCAATATTATGGATGTTTGCAGAGCCTTAAAAAGAATCAATGGTTGTAAAGGTCTGTGGTTAGTAAGAACCATCTGCCCCAGGCAAAGACCAGACCCTCCCCAACCTTTCTGGCAGAAATAAAACAATAAGCAGCCGGCTTTGCAAATCATCATCTCAGAGGTCGTAAGCACCGGTATCTGCTTTTGTATGAGACTTGATTGAAATTCTTCTGCGATGGCGGCGTCCCTGCCATCAATGCCTTAATTAGAAATGAGGACAGTCACATCGGCATAAATTAAATCAGACTAAAGATGATTAACAAAGTAAATGCAAGGAATCATTAAATTAAACCATTGTGCCAAGTCCTCTGCCTATCTATCACAAATTTGGGCTGCTAATGAGGGTCTTAATTAGTAAGTTAGGTCGAAATAATTCATGCCAGTCACTCCGAGGCAACCCCTTTCCCTCTTCTTCTTACAGGGTCTTTCTGCTTCCAGCTCCGAATGCAAATGTATTGGGCTGTGGACACGGACATTGCTGACAAATGACACCATTCTCCCATGATCAAATCCTCATAACACTGGATATGTTTGCTGTGATGCCAGGGGTGAAGTCCTGTCTGCCACAAGGGGCAGGATCAGTCCTCAAACAACAGAACTGTGGACAGACAGACAGACAGATGAGATGCGGTTCTGGATTCATCATGAGTGAGGGCTGGAGACAGGAGGCATGAAGAGTCAGAGAGTGACCTGGGATAGAGCTCTGGGGACTCTGGTATAGCAGAATTCCCTCTGCTGCCCGTTGTATTCAGCAGAGAGAGGCTCAGAGAGGTGAATTTACTGGCCCAAGGTCACACAGCCACAAAGGCAGAGCTTGACTCAGCATCCCATCCTGTGTCCATCTGTGATGGCTGAGTGCCGGGTGGGTGGAGCTGGGTGGCAGGCAGGTGGAGCTGGGTGGCAGGTGGGTGGTAGACCTGTGGGAGGACTTCAGAAGGGAAAGTGGATCATCTGGGAGAGCCACTTACTGACTTGGCCTTATTTTCAGCAGGATGAGCTGGAGAGACAGCATTTTCAGTGTCAGTAGACTTGGCGTGGATATTGGAATCTGCTAGCTCCGTCCTGTGATCCTAAGTTAATGGTTTCTACTCACAGAGCCTCAGTTTCCTCATCTGTAGTCTGGGTTGCAATGAATACTGGTGTGGGATTCATGAGGGTTCAGTGAGGTCATGTGTGAAGTATGTTTTGTACACCATAGGTGTGCAGTGAGTGATTCTCCCCTAACCTTCCCAGGCATCGCCTGGGGACTCAGCTTATGCGCTGTAGTGAACTCCATGGAATTTAGTGGCTCGTTCATCAGGATGCAGGTGGTCTGGTACCAGCTGTGTGGCTCTTATCAGAGTTTACCATCAGCAACAGGAAGACAGGAAGGCTTGCCAGTTGGGGTCATCTGGCTGAAGGCTGCGGCACAGGAGTGATGGTGTACCTGTCACATAGCAGGCTGGCTACAGTGGGCACTATCGGCCATGGGTGACAGCCAAACACCCAGGGGAGGGTTTGTGGCTCCAGCTGCTATTCTTGCCTCAACTGTTCAAGAAGTCTCAATGGCTGCTGTGGCCTGGATAGTGTCCCCTCCACCTTCCCCAGAGGTGTCCATGCTCTCTACCCAGGAACTTGTGCACACATTTCTATCTATGGCAAAAGGAATGTGTGCGTGTGTGCGTGTGTGCGTGTTGTGAGTAGATAACCAGCCTCAGGATAGCAGCTGATCCTAGGTATAGAGTCATCCACAGACACAGTGGCAGGTGGCTTCCTATGTTGGGTGGGTCTACAGGAGAGAAGGTCTGTGAGGGGGGATGTCCTTCTGTATGTATGTTTCTTTTATGGATTGATGAATAAACAGTTTGGCAAGCAGAGGTAGGAAGATAGGTGGGGCGAGGAGACAAGGAGAATTCTGGGAAAGGTAGACAGAGGAAGCCTGCCAAAAGAAGGACACCATGTAGGCCACCAAAGGAGTAACAGATCTGGACCCTTCTCCGGTAAGATAAGACCACGTGGAAATACTTAGACTAATAGAAATGGGTTAATAGTTTAGAGAGAGCTAGCCAATAAGAAGCCCTAGCCATTGGCCAACAGTTTCATAATTAATATAGCGCCCATGCGCTTATTTGGGGCAGAGAAGGGCGGTGGGACCTGGCGGGACAAGGAAATGCCCACAACAGGTCTGTGTCAGTGGAAGCAAAGACCACTGGGAAAACAAGGAAGGAGCCATACACGAAGGTAACCAGTCCTGTGGACCTCACACCTTAGTCCCCCATCTTGACTCGTCTTGAATCTCAGATCACCAGAATGGGGACACGTCCTCGTCTTTGGATACCACCTACTTTGTAGAAGAAATAAGTCATGGCCACAAGGCCAGACTGGAGGTGGAGAGGCCACGCCTTGCTCTGAGAGAGGTCATAAAGCCATGGGGCACAGAGGCAAGCGCCTAGGGTGGCAGGGACCTGGGTCCCAGCTGACTGCCTATCACACCCGTGAATGCGTCTCCCAGATGATTTGGGGGAATGGCTTCATTTAGAAAGATGACTGTAACAGCACTGGTACTGTAGGCGGCATGCCAGGTATTTCCTCTCATTTTTGTTTGAGGGTGTACAACAGAAAACTCACCATTTTACTAATGTTTGTTCAATTTCTTTAGGTGCATGGCCAAGGTCTTGCAAATGTTATCCATTTCCAGAACCTTCCATCGCCCTAACCGGAAAGTCTTACCATCTGCTAGGGTGTGTGCAGCTTCTGGCAAATTTCTCCACTGTGTGACCTTGACTCTGGCTCTGGTTTATCTCCCTTTATACCAAGTGCTTAAGGGCCGCTTGCAGCCAGTGTACATTAACAACCTTACAGCCATGCCCGGAGGAGGCACGGAGCTCAGAGACTCTGAGGCTGGTTTGTGGGAGTACGCACAGCAGGTGAGTGAAGGCCCGGAATCCTGGACTCAGATCTGCTGGTGTCAGGGCGGGAATGTGGTCCCCTTGCTTTCATCCACCCTGCCCCCCCCCAGTGATAGTTGCTGGCCTCCAGGTACCCACAGGCCAACCACAGCTCAATATGGCCACCCCTCCCCCACCGGACATCCATTAATTTCCCACTGCCAGCCTGGCCCAGAACAATCACTTTTTCATCGATTCCGCTTCAATTAATTAAAAAATCC